AAACATTCAAAAAACAGTAAAATTGCAATTTTGATTGTTTATGTTGATGACATCATTTTAACTGGTAATGATGAAGTAGAGTTTGCAGCCCTCAAAGAGAAACTCGCAAAAGAATTTCACATTAAGGATCTGGGAGCCCTCAAGTATTTCCTCGGAATGGAATTTGCAAGATCCAAGGAAGGTATATTCGTTAATCAGAGAAAATATGTTCTTGATCTCCTTGGAGAAATAGGTATGCTTGGTTGTAAGATGGTGGAGACGCCGATCGAGCCTAACTTGAAGTTACAAGTTGCTAAGGCTGAAGAAGTCAAAGAGAGGGAACAATATCAGCGACTTGTAGGGAAATTGATTTACTTGTCTCATACGCGGCCTGATATTGCCTTTGCAGTCAGCATGGTAAGTCAGTTCATGCACTCACCAGGGGCAGAGCACTTTGAGGCCGTTTATAAGATCTTAAGATATTTGAAAGGAAGTACAGGGAGAGGCTTACTGTTCAAGAAACATGGACATCTTCAAGTTGAAGTATACACAGTTGCAGACTGGGCAGGAAGTGTTACAGACAGGAGATCAACATCCGGATACTGCTCCTTTGTAAGGGGGAACCTAGTTACATGGCGGAGTAAAAAACAGAATGTGGTAGCTAGAAGTAGTGCAGAAGCAGAGTTCAGAGCTGTTGCCAATGGAATCTGTGAAGTAATGTGGATTAAAAGAATTCTTGAAGAATTAAAGCTTTCTCACCCGACACCTATGAAGGTCTATTGTGACAACAAAGCAGCTATATCTATAGCTCATAATCCAGTTCTACATGATCGCACAAAACATATAGAAGTGGATAAACATTTCATCAAGGAGAAAATCAATGCTGGCATAATCTGTATGACCTACCTTCCAACAGGTGAACAATTAGCTGATGTGCTAACGAAGGGACTACACAAGAAACAATTTGATAAGCTGACTAGCAAGCTATAGGAAGTAATGAGTAACACTACCTGAAGCTTCTCCAAAGTCTTAGATAATGATGAAAAAACCAGCTTGAGGGGGAGTGCTGGAAATTGTATTCATGTATATAATATGATAGTGGTGTTGGTGGTAGATAGTGGTATGTATAGAATATGATAGTGGTGTTGGTGGTAGATAGTGGCATGTATATAATATGATAGTGGTAGATAGTGGTAATATATAATATGTAAGTGGCATATAATGGGTTGTGATGATGTTTGTAATATCTCCTATATAAGGAGTGTCATTTGGTCTTGTAAGATAAGAAGTTTTGAATATAACAGAAATATATTCCTTCTTCCTCATATTGAGAAATATATTCCTTCTTCCTCATATTTTCGGAGTTCTTCTTCTTCATATTTTCTAAGTCATATGTTATGTAGTTTTGTGATAAACGTTTCATAATTTTTTGGTAGAGTTACGACAATTTGTAGTTCAGAAATGGCGTTATGCATTTTGTGGTACTGTTACTTATTTTTGTAGTAATAGCATTTTTTCATCGATTTTGAACCCCAACCCCAAAATGTGTTACATTATCACAAAAACGCATAACTTTGTCTCTGAACCGCAACTTGTAGTAACTCTACCAAAAATTATGATTATTTGCCACAAAAATACGTAACTATGTGTGTACCAAAGGGGTTCCCACTTATTAGGATACATAGATAATTGAACGTTTGACTTCTACATATTTCTTTATATAAATGGAACAAGTATACAATCTTGAAGTAAATTCAATACAAAACAATAATTGTCAAACAAATTAAAATGGCAAGCACTAGTGAATATACGTTTCTAAATATGCATATGTATGGTTCTAACCGAGTAAGTTTTAACAAAATTGCCAAAAAATAATGAATTTTTTTATATTAATAATTAACGAAGGTAAAAGGATAATTAACCGAGTTGGAGGTCCTTTGGAAAACCTTAATTTTGTTTTGGGGAAATGATATTCACACTCCGTTTTTAGCCTCACACTCTTTGCAGTCACTTTTCTTGCTGTGATTTTTTTTGTTTTTTTTTTGGGCAAGTCAGTCATAAATAAAACAAAGGAAATCTATAAATTTACAAGGGGCATTCCCCAGGCTAAACCAAACAAAGAAGAGAAAAGACTAGGGGTGTGTTTGGTTTGTGTTTGTAGAGTAGTTTTTGAGATAAAAAGTACGAAACCTTGTTTGGTTTGCCTTTTTTCAGAAATGGTTTTGGAAAATTGTTTTGGGGAGAGAGTTTTAAAAAAAGTGATTGATTTGATATGTATAAGAGAGAGAGAGTGATTTTAGAAAGTATGTAACCAAACAAAATTTTGAGATTTTTTTTGAAAAAATTTGTTTGGTTTGATTACTCTTGAAAATGTGTTTGTAGAGAATTTTTTCCAAAAATTTTTCTAAAAAACAAACCAAACAAGGCCTAGGAGTTTCTGACCCAACTATTAACAAAACATGCACAACCCGCATGACAGCTAACAAAAACATAATCTTGAGGGATAGAAATCTGTTCGTTTACCACAATTTTTAAAAAAATGGAGTTTCTTACCCAACTATTAAGTATTAACAAAACATGCACAACCCGCATGACAGCTAACAAAAACATAATCTTGAGGGATAGAAATCTGTTCGTTTACCACAATTTTTAAAAAAATGGAGTTTCTTACCCAACTATTAAGTATTAACAAAACATGCACAACCCGCATGACAGCTAACAAAAACATAATCTTGGACGGAGGCAAGAAGAAGAGACCGGCGGCAGAGTAGAGAAGAAAAATCCCACTTGTGGATGTGGTTGTTTGGGTTGTGTGTGTTGGGTTGTTGGGTATTGTTTTGTTTTTTTTTTGTTTGATGTAAAATTGTGATCGGGGTGAGCCCCGACATGAATAAAAGATGGGCTGATGTGCAAATTTGGAATTTTTTTTTTTTTTTACGTTTTCTATGGTTAAAATGAGTATAAATTTTACAATAAAGTCACACATTTAATGGTATGATATGTATTCATAGATTACTACATATCAAATTATATTTTTATACATATATAATATGTATATAAATATATATATATATATAGAAATAAAATGGAAGGAGATAAGAACAGCATGATGGCTTTGGTGGGTGGAGTCTGTGGGTGAAGTGCAGAAGTGGACGTGGGTGCTGGAGTGAATATAGTATTTAAGCATATATTAAAATAAAAGAAAGTGGCTGCAGAAGAAAAAGAAAAAAAAAGAGGTATGGGTGAGAATATAATAAACAGATACAGAGAGAGAGAGATAAAGTGCCCATGTGCATAGGTCTGCCCAATAAAAGATATCATACTATCATACTAAAAGATATCATACTATAGTATAATAAAAAGAGAGATAATAGATATATATAAAAGAAAGAAAGTGGGGGAGGGTGGGAAGCAGAAAGTTAAAAGGGAGTAAAAGAAATAAATAAATAAAGTGTGGGAGAGAGAAGCAAGAAAGAAGAATGGGCTGGCCTCTTATGATACCCAGTGGCAAAAGCTTCCATCATCAAAGTCCCAAGTGCCGACATCATAGCAATAAACCCTGCAAATGGAAAGCCCGGCCATGGATTTGTACTGAGGCACGGACTCGTTAGGCTGTTGAAGGCATCGGGAAGGATGGGAGGGAAACCGGTGGCTAAGATCACACCGGCAGCAAAGGCCTTGATGAGGAAGTGAAGTGCACTGTGAGGTTTCAATGCTGAGACATTTCTTAGCAGCAAAGGCATGGAAACTCCAAGTGCACTGGCAACTAGAATTGAAGCTATGGAAACTAGTTTGTATTTGAGTGCCGTGGGTATTCTTGAAAACAAGGTTGTGTGTCCCTCCCAGGAAAAGTCGAAATGACCCACTGACATTCCAGCTTGGAGACAAGTAGAGATGACCTCTACGGATCGAGAGCGAGGACCCAAAGTCCCGACGATCTTGGTCATTGCAGGGAAGAGGCTGGATCTAGATGGCTCGAGGATTGAAGCCATCCTGGTAGGCTCTTCGAGACAACAGTGAGAGGAGGGGCAGTGGTGGTGGACTCGAATAAATTTCAAGGTATGTGTAGAAAATTCTAGCGGATTAGGTTGAGGTCCGGCAGGCGGCCAAGGTGAGGTTGTCGCCTGCCGGTGAAGCGAAAATACTAGGTTCTAAACCTGCTCTGATACCATGTAAGAGTTTATGTATACAGAAAGAGAGAGAGCAAGTGAATAAATGAGATGTTATTGATATATCTTTATTGTGTATATTACAAGTACAAGGATTCCTATTATATAGGAGAGGATTTGAGAGTAGGTGAGGAGTAGGTGGGGAGTAGGTGAAGTAGGTGAGTGTGTGTGGTAGGTGGTAGTGGGTGTAGTAGGTGTAGGTTTTAACATAAACACAGTCACACAATCAACTTTCCTTATCAAATGTCTCTCCTTTAACACAAAGACATGAGTAATGTTGTCTTTGAAATTAGTGCTATGCAGTTACTCAAGTGTGAAAGTGTGATAGAAAATAATACAAACGATAATGCTACGTAGCTCAAATTTTGTGGCTCAAAAGTGGCTCAAACGGCCAAAACGACGTCGTTTTGAGTACAAAACAACATAAAAATGGCCAAAACGACGTCGTTTTGGCCATTTGAGCCACTTTTGAGCCACAAAATTTGAGCTACGAGACATTTTCCTAATACAAAATACAAATGAACAATATCTAACAAACTTACAATAACTAGATTTTGTTAAACTGCTCAGTTGAAAAGACGGCTCTCCAACAAGCCTCAAACCCAAAAATGAAAAGAACCAAAAAAGGTTATAAGCCTTTGCTTTGATATTGATTTTGATCATTTTGTGCTTGAATATAAAGTCAATGTATTCTACATATTCAGGCTACTACTTGAACTAAAAGCAGGGCCTTTATCTAGACCCACCTAAGCAATTCGTTAATCAAGAAGGCAAACAGTAGAAGGTACTTGTGATCCCTTTTTCTTCCCCTAATCCTTGTTTGGTATTGAGTTATCATAATAAGCACGAGAGTAATAAAGGTGCTTGAAGTAAATAAATGTTAAGTCAAAGTTACTTAAAAGATGAATGTTAGACTAACCTCAAAGAGTTTAGAGAAGAATAGGTCTCTTCCATGTCAGAGAATTTGGTTACAATGCGGATGGAGTCTTTCAAAGCCCTTCCAGTCACCTATGAAACAAAAAAATGCATCAAGAGAACAGTTAATTAGCCAAGCCATATGGCGACTCTAGCAAGAATAGTTTTGTCAATCAAACCACTGAAAGAAGAATGGAAGAAGAAATGGGAAAGAAAGAAGAAGAGAGATAATAGAGAGGGAAAGAAGTGAAGAACACTGAGAAAAAGAGAGATGGCCAAAAGAGAGAAAACAAGGAAATTTTGATGTTACTCAAAACTATGCACAAAACTTTTTGTTCCAAAACCAAACCTAATTATACGAAGGCTGCTCAATAAAGGGAAGAAATCAATTAACACTTTTTTACACAGAAAACATTAAGAAAGTACAAAATTTTAAAATTAAGCCTAAGCTTAGCCTCCATCTACAATGGAAATACATGTAAAATGGAATTCCATGATCCCCATGTTTTGTCATTGGCTACATCAACTGTCTCAGCATTGAAATTCTTGGACACTAGTGGAATAAAATATCACATGAAAAACAAAGGCATGGTATGCTTCCTAACCTTAAAGTCTTTCAACCATAAAATGTTTTTGATTCTACCACAGAAAGCTGACACTAGTTTAAAAGGTAACCCTATGGCGCTTCCTTTTTTCTTTGTTTGCACATCGCATAACAGACACTCATATTTAAATAAAAGTCAGACAGAATAGTACTATATCCAGCGATTTCTGAATACTCAAATTAATGTAATCATCTAATTGTAACAGTGTATTGTCACAACAAAAGAGAACCACACAAATTCCTATAGGTGAAATTTCCAGGGATGCTGCTTCTCATGGCATATCCAAAATGTAAATCACAAACAAAATATGGTAAATAAAGAGTGGACAACATACCGAAGACATGGCATGGGGAAGGGTTCTCTTCAAAACAGATTCAATTGTAGCCTTTCGAGCATTTTGCTTCCCTACATAACTTAATAGGATACTCTCTGGAACTTTCTTTCCTGGGCGAAATCCGGGGACCTGGGAATAAAGAACCAATTTGTTACATGAACATGGATACTCATTTCCCAAGCAAACAATATGACAATAAACAAATTGTGCATCTCATTCTCCGAGCTTATTTTCTTGGTCAGGTTGCATGAGTAAATGGGACGAAAGTCAGAAGACATTTTCCGACCTTTGAACTCCAACAAATAATTTTCATTGAACTTGAAAAATATCAGGGAAAAAAGTAACAAGTACCCTCCGGAAAAAAAGTCACCCAGTTAGTCTTCTCCTCAAGAAAAATCTTAGTAGCGTTTGGTTCACTGGAATTAAGTATAAGGGAATGATTATTCCATCATAATGTCCATTCTCACAATTGGTTGCTAAAAAAATTACGAAAAAATACATTGTAGATGGAATTATCATTTGCCATCAATGGTCATTCCATAATGAGGGTTAAGGAATGGCCATGACATTAAACCTCATTTAAGTGAACCAAACACTACCTCAGTGTTTAAGATCCAAAATCAAAGAATAGTCAATTAAATTGTGCATACACTGATTCTAACCATCACATCATACCATGTAGAAGCAAAAACTAGATGGTAACTCAACAGTACCTTTGACTGCTTCATGAACTCATTCATGACCCTTTTGTAACAATCCTCACAAACAGCTGGTGGAACTTCTACACTCAATCTAATCTGAATAAAAGAAGTATACTCAATTGCAAATACACATAAAGCAGTACTTATACAAATATACTCTGATGAACATGTGCGTGTGGGCCAATAAATGTAGAAGAACAAAACCCAGTTGAGAAAATGCAATCTAGGATAATCAGGATCTCATGAATATGACAATAAAATACAATTTGAAATTGGCCAAGAAAGTAAAAACCCAATAAAATTAGCTCATAAAAATTGACAATGCAGGCAGGCAAGGATTGGCTTGAAATTGAATCTTAATGACAAACAAAGTATAATAATAATAACAAAGATTAGAAAGACTGACTCTGGAATTGGGTTCTTGGGTTTCTGTAACCTCGATATCAGCCGGAAGTTGATCTTGTACGGTGTCGTAAGCGGTTGAAGATGATGAAGCTGCGAAGCGGGTTGAAAGTCTTGAAGATTGCGGTTGGAGGAGAGAGAATTGGCGGGAAGAAGTGGAAAGCTTGTGAGGAATGAAGAGTGTGTTGTTTTTGGTGGTGTTGAGTTGAACAAGAGTGTTGGAGAGAGAAAGAGAAACAAGAGAGGGCTTCAATTGAAGGAAGGTTGGAGTGGTGGTGGTGGTTGCACAGCTATAGCAGAGCTCCATTTTTTGGGTTTGGAGAGAGAGAGAGAGAGAGAGAGAGATGCTGGAGCTGTTGAGAGCGAGTTTAGAATGTTTTGAGGGGGGGAGCAGGATGGATAAGGTGGACGTAAAACGGCGTCGTATTGTTTTTGGTTGCTGCCCATTTATGATTTCTTTTATATATTATCTATGTAACCAGGGAAGGTTTAGTTTGAAAATGTATTTCAAATTAATGGTCTAGATTTAAAAATAATAGCTTAGATTTACTTTTACAAAATTTCTATTTCATAAATTATTTTTAATGATTCAAATTTGTCTAATTTAAAAATTATGGCTGAGATTCAAAAAGAGATTCAATGATCTAAATTTATCTAAGAAATAAGATTAAATGGTTAAGATATATTCAACTATCAACTTTTACCAACTCACTGCACTTTACATCATCTCTGTGAAATTACAAAGTTGTGAAGAAGGAACGAAGCTCTAAAAAACAATCGAAAGAAGAACAAAATTCTAAAGGAAGAACAAAGCTCTTTGCATTTGTTTTCATTTTTTCTTCACCATCACCACGTAAGGAATTCATATCTCCTTTTTTTTTTTTTCATTCATTTTTTTATCATTATTTATTTATTTTTCTAGTTCATAGCCCTGTTTTTTTTTTTTGTTTTTTTTTTCTCCTCTGTTTCTGGACCAACTACCAATGTATCCCAGACATGCATCATTTTTTTACCTCTGTTTTTTTTTCCAGTTCATCCCGTCATCCCCACCCATTGTTTTTTTTTTTTTTTTTCCAGCCCATAACTCTTTGTTTGATTCTTAGTTCTTTGTTAAGAATTTGAAGCAAAAAAACAAAAAAAATTTGTGTTGTGTTTTGTTCTTAGGCCTCATTTGAGAACATGTTATTTTAGTAACTTTTTAGATAAAATATGAGATAAAAAAATTAGTATATTTGGATGAATTTTTGATTTTTTATGAAAAATATGTATAAAAAATAGAGAGAAAATAGAATTTTTGATTTTTGGTATAAGTTGTAAGCTTTTTGATTTTTTTCTTTAGTAACTGTTTTGGCTTTTAGGCTAAAACACTCGTATGCCAAACGAGGCCTTATTTCTTTTTTTGATTTTTATTTTTTCAATTAAATGTGTTAATGTTAACATTAATTGGGTTGAGATTTTCTTTAATAATCAATGAGATTTCAATACCCACTTCTCTCTCTGTAAAATTTAATGTATAAAGAGAAATAGAGAGAGAATAAATTGTATGTATTATTGATTGATTTATATTGATCTCTATTACAATGATTCATGATTCCTATATATAGAAGAGGGTGAGTGTGTAGTAGGTAAGGAGTAGGTGAAGTGGAGGTGGTAGTGGTGTAGTGGGTTAGGTTTAGTGGAGTAGGTGAGGTGGTCAAGTGGTGTAGTGGGTTAGGTGTAGTGGAGTAGGTTTTAAAGTGTGGTGCTGAAGTGAGGCTGAGGAGTAGGTGGATTTTAACAGCCCCCCGCAAAACTCAAGGGGGATATGAACTACCAAACTTGAGTTTGGAGAGAGTAAAAAACAAGAAAATACATAAAATACAAGAGGGATAAGAGACACTGTACGTGGTCGTGTCATGACCATTGGGTGATAGACACTTGGATCGTGGTGGTTGTCATAACGTTGCTAGAGGACACTATGATGGGGGTGCTCATAACCATGTAGAGGACACTGTATAGTGGGGTGTCAATAAACGGTGTAAGAAGACACTGGATGATTGTGTCATTACGACCAATGTGACGAAAGACATGTTTTGGGCGTCATGTCGGAAACCGTTGTAGCAGATCAAATTGTTGTGACAGTGTTGTGACAGTGTTACAGAGTCTTGCTGGTAACCATTGTAAGACAACTAACCGGAAAATCAATGTCGGGAAGTTTACAGAGTCTTGTCGGACCTCCATAAAGGAGCTAACAGCGGAAAGGTATTTGA